ACCGTGCTGCGGTCAGGACAGACACGGTGGATTCGCTACCAGCGGGACACAGATGCCGCCACAAGCAGTTCCAGTCCTTTGGTGTCCATAACTCTTGGTATCTAATTTCAGGATAGCAGACATCTACTGTGTTTGTGCTCACTACTGTGGTGGCAGTGGTCCCCCCAGGAAAAGGGCAGTCAGTTTCACTGACGAGTCCTCCATTGGGTTCTCTCTTCAGGGTCTTTGGACTTCAAACTGTGCCCCGGGGCCATACATCATCCTTCCCGGGCCCTAGAAGGGTATCAACAGGAAAAGCAATTTTCACAAATAGCTCCCAGAAGTATGAACAAGGGTGCAGAAAGATCGAAAAGTGAAGCTCTTATTGTCTTTGGAGGGGAGGTGTTCAGATTGATGGTGGAAAAAGTCCCAGGGAAAATAAGGCTACTATATCACCACTGACTGTTTTCTCCAGCAAGTTCCAGTTTTGCTGCAGATCGTTTTATAACGATTAACAGATGCTAGATTAATGGCAAGGTACCCATTGCCTCGGGTGTGTGGAAGAGCTATTTTTGGCTGTTCCTTTGTTTGTAATCATGAACACCCTCGTGAGCTTGGCCAGCTTTGTTGATGTGGTCACATCAAATATGCTTATCCTGTGACCAGCACACTGTGGCCACTCTGTGGCTTCTGAATCACAGCCCGGGCCCCCAGCATGGATGAGCACACTGAGGCTGCACACAATGTGGGGGCTCTGTAAAGATCATCGGGGCTCACACTCTGTTCATCAGGGGATGGTCCATGTCTGGGAGGTTGGGCCTGAAGAGGTCCTAAATTCCCAGAACCCGATCCCAAGCGTAGGACAGCTTCTCCTTCAGCAGCTGCTGCACTTGTACTGTGGCCTCAGCATCCCAGGAGTCCTTTACTCTAGAAAGCAAATTGTGGTGGATTGACAACTGGTAATCAACTTGTAACACCCAGCTGCACTGAACCAGCAGGGTGCTGGGTGTGGAGGGCCCACTTGAGTACTGCTGAGTACTTCTCCTGGAGAAGCTTGTCATGCTGCTTTTCCTGATATGAACTCTGCTGCTCTCATCACTGCAGGAGCTCGGGACCTTGTTGTCACGGAGGATGGCTGCAGTTCTCCTCAGGGGAGCTCTGGTACACACCTTGAGTGTTGCTTCCTGGCTCCAGTGTAGATCGCTCAGGCTGCTGGCACAGATCCCTCATCCCACTGGCACAGACTTCCTAGTTTCCACCACTGATATCTGGGCCTTCCCAGTGCAGATCCTTGATACAGACTCGCATGAGAGGTTGTTGCAGGCGCTAAGCCTCCAGCTGGAATTCTGGAGGACATTGCCATGGGCTCTAGGTCTTCAACTGGACTCACGCAGGACACTGCTGTGGGATCCAGGCCCTTAGCTGTTATTTGGACAGATCTCCTGCACTCTTGAATTTGACTCTTTGGGTGAATACTATAAAATAATCCTATAAATTATGTGTCCTGTATTGAATTGTTTCCCTTGCAAACCTTGACTACAAGTAATGATGTGCATAGTACAGGTATTTCTTGGTATCCATGGGAGATTGGATCCAGGGTCTCTTTGGCTATCAAAATCCGAGAATGCTTACTTAAGTTCCTTACAGAAAATGATGGACTATTTGCATAGAACCAACACATCTCTTCCTGTATACTTTAATTCGCCAGTACTTACACTAACCAAAGCAGTGTCAGTGGCATGGAAGTAACTGTCACTGTACTCTGTCGTTTAAGGAATGATACCGTGAAAAAGCCTCTGTGTGTTCAGGAAAGGTGTAATATATTTTTAATCTGTGCTTGGCTGAATCCACTCACGTGGAACTTGTGGATCTGAAGGACAGATTGTATTTAACAACAAGGTGGTTCATTTTCATGTAAAATATATTTTTGTACTTTATGTAAATGTGAGTTTATTGTGCATTTTATTTTCATTCTTAGAACCAGGTGGCCAACATGTAGACCAAACTTCCTTTGCCTTAAGAAGAATTCCATGGCCCCTTTTACTAGAGAGTAATTTCTCTCTATCCCGCCTCCCCCCACATTAATGACGTTACATCTATAACATCAAGCTATAGCAGGATACTTGGTACTGCTGAGAGCTACAGGTAAGAACCTGTATGAGTATTTCAAATACAGTGATCCATGTGCACCCATGCTCAAAGCAGCATACTCCGTAACAGCTCAATCTATATGTCCGTCAATAACTGAATGATAAAGATGTGGTAGTTACACACAATGGAGCACTACTCTGCCGTAAAGAACAAACTTAAGCCATTTGTAGGAGAATGGATGCACCTTGAGATCATAAAGCCCAGTGAAATAAATCAGACACACAAGCTTAAATACTGCATGGTTTCTCCTACCTGAGAAACCCAAATTATAGACAAAGGGCAAAATAAAAGGTAACAGGAAGTAGAGAGATCTTCCCCAAATGGGAGGGGAGACCAAGGGGTGGGGGAAGTGGGAGAGGAGAGGAAGGGGGTGAAAAATGAATTGAGATGTGTTATGGACATGTACCGAGTTCACACAGGTGCAGTCATGTATCTCACAGTTTTATCCCAGCGGGTCTGTCATAGTATAAAGTGTGAGGATGTAGCTCAGTGGTAGAGCTCTTGCCTAGCATGTGTGAGGCCCTAGGACACACACACACACACACACACACACACACACACAGTTTCCAATAAGAATTATAAGATGAGCAAACTGAACTGCTCCCAACCTTTAGAAAAACGAGATAAACTGCAGGGCGGAGGTGCTGTGAGGCTCTGGATGGGGGCGCAAGGCCGGGCGTACACAAAGCTATCCGTGTCTACCCACAGGTCCCCGCTCAGTTCGAGTCTGAGCCCAGGAGCCATCGGAGCATCACTGTGCATGTGGCCAGACAGCGTCCCGAGTGCTGCTGGGCCTGTTTCCCCGTCTGTAATCCCAGTACTCAGAGGCCTAGGCAAGTTCGAGCCCAGCGTGGGCAACTCAGTGACTTGCTGAGATGCTGCCTCAAAATAAAGTAAGATAAAATAATAAAAAAGGGCTGGGGCTGTAGGTCAGTGTTAAGGCTCAGGGTTCAATCTCCAGTACTGAAGGACTGTGGCCAAAGCACTGGCATCTCTAAAGGTCTAGAGCACAGCTGTGCTTGGCCAAGGGTTTTTGTCTCTGAAGAGACGAGCTTCTGTGGGCATCTGTCACGGGCTAGCTGCTGACACCCACAGGGACCTCTGCGCCCCAGCCTGGCTCATGCCCTGGGCTGATGGCGCAGTCCCTCCCATCCTCTTGCCCAGGCCCCGCAGCAGTCAGCCAGGCGGGTGGATCATGTAGGTACACCCATCCAGAGCTCTAGAATCGTGCTGGGGCCCGAGTTTGGGGACCACCGAACATGAGGCTCTGCCTGTTAAACCTGCCCAGGCCACATGAAGGACCAAGGCTGCTGGTTTTTTGCCCCAGAATTCTCCTTCGTCTCTTTCTGTAGACTTCAAATGCATAGTTAATTTTATTTGAGCGACAAAAATTAGCTCAGTATTAGCAAGGCCTTGGGCATGTTCAAACCCATTCATGTGGTTTCATCAGCACCCAGACAACCCTGTCCCAGGGCTGCAGAACAAGTTCAGTTAGCTTGGCCAGGGCCTCTCGGGGGGAATCCTGGGGTGAGGCTCCCCTTGAGCTCTCAATCTGATGCTTGCAGGGAGAGGTTCGAGTGCCCAGGTTTCCAAGCAGCAGCTCCTCAGGGTGAGAACAGATCCCGTGTCCCCCAGCAGCACTGTCAATGACCATGTACATCACCCTAGAAAGATTGCCCCAGGCCACGCCCCCCAGGGTTGGGTGACTCTGCCCTGGGACAGACAGGTGAGGGGGAGGACACATGTCCTCTGTCACCTGTGTCCACCCCCGCTGCCCTAACACTGCAGGTGCGCGATGGCCTGTTCGGAGGGTAACAGGTCCGGGACCATGAGGAACTTCATTCATCTCACAGGTACAGAAGATGATCCTGACGTCAGAAGTTGCATCGCTAAGTAGGACGGCCGCACAGTTCCTCCGCTCTGAGCGCGCCATTGTACACACTCTACAGTGTAAAGGTGCCACAGGCACACACCTTGCAGGTGAGCGGGGAAGGTGTGCGCTGGACTCGTGACTGAGAAAGAAAACGAGGGGACGCTCTCACTGCTGAAGGATCTGCAAGGTTGCTGCTAGCCTGCTCAAACCTCAGCATGGGGATCCTGCATCCACTCAGCACTCGTGCATCAAGGGAGACGGGAGCAGGGTCCGGGTTCCCTGCAAATCCCCCAGAAGTCAAGGAAGTGACTTCCACCCTTTTCTGTGTTTGGAAGGAACGAGTCTTCAAGGATGAGGGTGCACAAATCCCCTGCAGCCCAGGACAGTAGGACACCTCTCGCCCCTCCACTCACAGCCTCACCCAGCCGCGTCTTTATCTCTGTAACGCACTCCAGGAGCGGTGCTGCCCAGAGCTGGCTGAACACAAAAGCCCCCCGGACTCAGGAATACGCACAAACCACAGCCAGCGCTCATCTACAGGGCCAGGCTCTGCGGGGAGGGGAGCACTGGGAGGGCTGTCTACAAACACTCCATTTCCGGGGACTCTGTCGCAGCCAGACGTGGGCTCCTCTGGGGGTACGGACTCCGCCAGGCCTGTCGGACGGGAGGGTTGCCCCGATGGCGGGGAGGGGTCAGGGGCCTGGGGCTGCAGATCCACACAGCACATCTGGCAGCCCGGCTGCACACACCTCATCCCCGGCCGTGCAGTAACCACACTCGGCACCTTTGTGCGGCCCTGGGCCCAGGCTAAATCGCAGGCACACCCTGGACCCCTTCTGGCTTGACCTCCCTGCTGTCCCCCAAATCTCACCTGGTGCACAGCCGAGCCTCACAAGGGGGTTCCCAGCCTCCAGGTGGGAGCGTCCTCACAAGGTGCCCCTTCCGCAGGCCTGCCTGCCTCTGCAGGAAATGGACACGCAACACAGCAGCAGGTGTGTTCGGTGTGGAAAGAGGGAGATGATTCTGTTTATTGTCAAGGACCCAGAACCAAAGTCTGCAAGTGAACTACACAAAGGTGGAGGAGGCACAGGGCGGGGCGGGCGGGGCGCAGACCCGGTGATACACAGCATCACCGAGCCACCTCCAGCTTTCCATTCTGCCACTCGGCCCGACCAGGGCAGCCACCCTTCCACCCCAAGGCTGAAACAAGATGGAAATGTGACTCAGTTTATCAGCTGCTACACGGCAAGCAGGCCAAGAGGCTACTTCAGCTGGCGTGGGGGCCCCAGCCCGCGCAGGGTGATGCGGAAGGTGGCTGGCGTCTCTCATGTGCCTGGTCCCCAGCTCCTTAGGTCCTGGGCTTCTCTTGACTCTCGATGACCAGCTTGTCCGTCGTGTACAGTTGGCTGATATGGACCTGAAGGAGGAGACAGGACACAGGTTAGGAACACAAACTCCATGAGCCCCGCGGGGCAGGGAGCATCTGTAGCACTTCCACGCAGGCCCTGGCCCTGGTAGACTGCCCCCGATGGACACTGTCTTTGCTAGTTCCTTGCACACCCACTGTCTCCCCTCCCTGGGACAGCACCAGGGTGTTTAGCTGCTGGCTGGAGGCACAGCCATCCGCGTGGTGCCGAGAGCTCCCCATCGGTGCCATTCCTTCCTTTAGAACAGCTTCTTCCATCAGGAAGGGTTTTCAGTATCCAGCAGACAAGCTGTGAAAACGAGGCCAGAAAGCCACTGCGCCGAGCTCAGGGGCTGTCCCCCGGCGGGGAGGGCGGCAGCGCACTCTGCCCTGCCACCTCCCCCTGCTTTACTCTCCTTTTCCACGGGGCATTCTGCTGTGGCCCTATTGCTCCCACCTCTCAGACGGAGGCTAAAGCCATAACCCGGGCACAGCCCCTCCCTCCTTCGGAACAGAGTGTCTTTGTCACAATTTCCCTTTAAAGGCACTTCCTGAATAAGACTTTCAAAGGACCAAACAGAATGGGTAGAGAAAGGGCTGAGCATTAGGAAGTCTGTCTGGATTTCAGAGCAAGTTGGCCACTCTCTGTGAGCAATCTGGGGCAAGCAATTGCTCTTGAAAAGAGTGAAGCCGAGAAAATTCCCCAAGGCCAGAGTTGCCACTTAGAGCAGCTCAGCCTCAGAATTCAGATCCTCCTGTGCTTTTCCGCTGGCCCAGGACAAGGCACAGTGTGCTGTGTGGAAGGAAGGCCCTGAGGAGAGGAGCTCGCCCACCAGGGACAGCCTCAGGGCACTGCCGGGGTCCCCGTTTTCCCGGGCACGTGCTGGGGCTCCTGCCCGCACTTGGTGGATGACAGGAACTAGTAAGCTGTGGTGTCAGAGGAAGCCAAGGAAAAGGTGAGCGCTGCATCCCCTAAAAAGGAGAAAAAAGCGGAGAACAGCGCTTGGGCAGTATGTGACCATGCCGGTATTTTTAATTGCAAGCGAACCTGCAGTTACGAGGAAGAGCCACGTGGCCGGGGCAGTAAGCATCCAGCACAACTCCTAGTAGAAACCAGGTGCCAGGCGGCTCTGCGTCTCAGCCGTGTCCCTTCCCTTCATCAGCTCTGGTGACACTGGTGCCAGCAGCATGGCAGGGGGCTCTAGGGCACTTCATTTCTTAAACTGCTGCCCACGCATTGTGCAGTGCAAGGTCAGAAACCATCCCGAGGGCTGGGGCCAGTGGGCTGGGCTTTCCTTTTGTTTTCTCTTCTTGCTCACTCATTGTCTGGGTTTATAATGGATCGTACTAAATCCCGACGGATGCAGGCAGGGATGGTTACGGTTTCCCTTCTTGAATCTGAAACAGCTGCTGGGTGAGCTGAAGCCAGGAGACCCCTACAGGAGAGGAAAGGCCACAGCGTGGATTACAAGGCTTCATTTTCACCTGTAAACTCCCACAGACGAATGGGGCTGCTATCAGATGATTCTGAGAAAGGGAAGGATAAGGCAGCAACGATTCTTTAAGCAGAAGCCTGAGAATCCACTTTGGAGGTGATGTCCCCACACTTCAAGGAGGTGAAACACAAATTACCGCGATGCGTCAGGAGGAACCCGACAGAGCTGTCTGCTGGGAATGGGCTGCTTGGGAAGCCGTAAGCTCTGTCCTGGTGAGCAGTGGACAGTGGAGACGGAGGCGGAGTTCCGTCTCAGCCGGGGCCTGAGCCCGCTGACTGCTTCTAACTTCTGTGAGTCACACTGCCAGCCGTCTCCAGGGTCACCTTGGTTAGCAGGAGCCACGTGGTCTCTGTCAACCCCGTGTTCTGCTTCTCATATGGAGGAGCCCCAGAAAGATGCCATTCTCCATGCCTGCCCCCATCCCTGACACTGTCTGAGCAGCCAGGGGAGGGGGATCTGGCCGAGGGACAGTCTCTGCAGACTCAGGAGGGAGAACAAGTATTCCCTCTACAGCAACAGGGCGTGAGGCCTGCTTCCAGCCCCTCCGGGAAGGCCCTTCTCCCTTCTGTCTGCTACCCACAAGCAGGAGGGCAGCTCGTCTGGGCCGTCTGTGTGGCACGCGTGTGGGGCTGACGTGAGGGGCTGAGCTCTTGTTCCTGTGTGTCCTGCCTTCACCCCCATGGGCAGGGCTGGTGACATGCACACTGCAGCCAGGCTACGCACAGCCCCGGCAGACGTGTGCTTTGCAGACCACCGGGGCCCGACACGCAGGATGGACGGACAGGCAGGGCTCTTCCTTCTAGGAGCAAGGCAGGCACATAGCAGGTAGCTAACTGTCTGTTGTGGGAAAGAGCCCACAAGCCCCCCAGGAGCTCTGGCCGTCACTCAGCAGCTGGGCAGTGAGCATCTCACGCCCCAGGTCTCTGCTGTGCATGCTTGAAGGCGCCCCTGTCCTCAGTGAGCTCGGCGAAGAGCGCGGCCCCTGCTCCACAGTCCGGAAGGGGCCAGCCCGCGAGCAACCCAAGTGCTAGGGACGACTTCTCAGTGCAGATGGCTGTCAAGCGGGGCCAGAGGAGGGGTGGGGAGCACCTTCCAGAGAGGGGGAGGCACCCACTGGGGTCACTCAGGGATGCACACAATGGGCTTGCCTGTCTGAGTGCATCGAAGAGATGTGGGGGTATGTTGGTTTTTTTTTGTTTTTCATTTTTCTTCCGGTACCAGGAATCGAACTCTCGACCTTGCGCTTGCCAGGCAGGCGCTTTGCCGCTGAGCTAAATCCCCAGTCCAAGACGTGGAGGTATGGACAGACCCTGGAAATCAAACTCATGCGGAGGGAGAGGAGGGCCCCTGGGACGCTGCGATGGGAGGAGCAAGGCCTTAGCCAGTGGCCCAGGGCCCAGCAGGTGTGCAGGTGAGGACGAGTCCAGCTGGAGAAACATACAGTGAAGCACACAGGTCAGGACGTGAGAGGCACTGTGCTCAGGCCTTGGTGAGAACAGAGGCCCAGAAGTTAACCCTCAGAGGAGCGAGCTGGAACCCTGGGTCTCCTCAGCTTCCTTCAGACTTTCTCCAACACGCAGCTCCTCTGCCAGTTCCCAAGCAATGCTCCATTGCATGAATGACACATCGCTGTGACACAGCTGCAGTTACTGCAAAACCTAAGCGCCCAGCATTCACATCTGAGAGAACTGTGGCCTACCTGCACCCCTCTCTCTCTCTTGCCCTTACTAGGGGCTGATGGAGATGTCCTGATGTCTACACTGTCCAGCTTACCTTGCAGCTAGAGGTGGTTAATGAGCTGACATTGTGACATCATGGGAACATCATGGTGGAACATGTGGGAAAGTTATTATTAGTTCTGCCATGTCAGGGATAGAAGCTGGGGGCTTACATATGCTAACAAGTGCTCCACCTCCGAGCATACTCCCAGGCCAAGAAAGTTCCTTAACGGGGACGCAGCCTCCTGTCTTGCCATTTGTCCAGGCTGGGCTCAAACTTTCCATGCTGCCTGCTGCCTTATTCCTCTGATAGGCACGCACCACCATGCACCTGGTCTCTCCCTTTCTTTTGGTGGTACTGAGAATTGAACCCAGGGCCTCAAATGCTAGGCAAGCATTCTACCTTTGGACTTTATTTCTGGCCTTTTTCTTTATTTTGAGAGAGGATCTCAATCAAATTGCCCAGGCGGGCTTTGACCTTGTGATCCTCTTGCTTCAGCCTCCTGAATAGCTGGAGTCACAGGTGTGCAGTATCACATGTAGCATAAAGGTTTTTCTACTGAACTTCCTACTATGATCCTTATGCCATTAATGTCACTGAAAGGGTATTTTTGTAACAGTATACTTCTCTGGGAACATGCTAAGAATTTAATCATTCTCACATGGTAAATGTTTACATTGTTTCCACTTCATGTTAGGACTACCACTCATACATAACCCTTGGCACATCGGATGTTTGTTTGTTCCAAAAGAATTCTAGAAAAGGAATTACTAGGTAAACGAGAGTGAACATTGGTTTCCTAACAGAGGTTGCAAATTCCTTTCTGGACCGGTTTGCTGGTTGGGCCACCTGATGCTCCCTCTGGTGGCGGATCAGAGGGCTTCAGAGGCACATGCATCTCCATGCAGCGCGCTCTGCGGTGATGCTGGCCCCCTCTGGGCATGGCAGGAATAGGAATGTAGGACCGTCTTACTGTGCGGCCATCCGCTGTGTTCCTCACAGGAGCCTTCAGTTGACAATAAGCCTCAACTTTGTTCTCCAGGCCACCATGCTGGAGGACACGTGCTCTGTGGGAGAGGTGCAGTCCGCAGGGTAGTGACAAGGGGCGGTACAGGGAGAGCAATCTGAAGAGCCGAGCTCTAGGAAACCTGCATCAAGCAATTTATAGTGTGCTCTGACTAAAGTAGGAATTAGATTTTTAAAATTCCTTTTTTTTAGGGGTGCTGGGGATTGAACCCAGGGCTTTACACGTTAGGCAAGTCCTCTACCACCGAGTTGCACCTCCTGCTCTTAAGACTTTTTTCTCAGGTACTATAACTTTGTAAGTTTGGGGGGAAAGCAAACGACACTGGATGTTGATACTGTTAATGGTGTTAAGAGGGTTTAAGGAGGAATGTGCCTCTGTCTGGGACCCTTTTCCTCTCCATGACTGCCCTGAGATCTGGAGGCTCCGACTTCCGTGTCTCTGCCCATGCTGCTGTGCCAAGATGCAGCTTCCGGGTGCTAGGTAGCAAGGGCTCGTTCCTCTGGGAACACTTAGGCACAGACGGCCCTGTAGTATAACCGGCAGAGAGCCTGCTCGGCTCCCCTGTGTGAAAGCCAGTGACTCAGCGGGAGGAAGAGGAGCGATCACATCCCTGGCTTCAGCTGCCTTCTGTGGCACAGTGCCGGGCATGAACCAGGTGCTCAGGAAGTACAGTCACGGCTACACCATGACGTTTAGGTCGGAATGACAGCATATTTATGGTTCTACCACCCCGTGACATTATAGTTGTTTTAATTTGTGTAAATACATTT